CCGTGTGTTATTAGAGCACTCGCAATCTTTTACAAAATAAATAAATTGCACACGTTCAGAAAAATTAGGTCCAAACACAATCGAATGAATAAAGTAAGTATTCTGTTATTAGTTTTTGTAGTGGTTGTTCATAAGGCATTTTTAACATTAAAATTATCCGTACAAAGCCGTTGGGCTTCTGGAAAATAAACCAATAGGTGACTCGGTGCAGTAAAACAATTAACTGTATATTGATAGATATAAGTGGCAACACCAGTGCTTTCGACGAAGCCACTGGCTGAGCCTCCGACTCACCGACTTAGCCACCGACTGAGCAACCGACTTAGCAACCGACTTAGCCACCGACTTAGCCACTAACTTTGCCACCGACTTAGCCACCGACTTAGCCACCGACTTAGCCACCGACTTAGCCACCGACTTAGCCACTAACTTTGCCACCGACTGAGCAACCGACTTAGCCACTGACTTAGCTACCAACTGAGCATCGGCTTAGCCACCAACTTAGCCACCAACTGAGCATCGACTTAGCCACTGACTTAGCCACCAACTGAGCATCGACTTAGCCACTGACTTAGCTACCAACTGAGCATCGACTTAGCCACTGACTTAGCCACCAACTGAGCATCGACTTAGCCACTGACTTAGCCACCAACTGAGCATCGACTTAGCCACTGACTTAGCCACCGACCAACAGCCCACGTCCTCCATGTTTGAAACACGTTGAACACAATAATATTCTTCGTATTGAAATATTAAAACATTTTTTTTGTACGAAAGTACTAAACTAAATATACAACAATCACAATGTGAAATCAATAAAAAACGTTTTTGAAGAAAATCTTGGTGTGAAATAGCACGAACAAGTTTAATTACCAAATGTAATACATAATGGTAAAGTGATTGCGGTGCGGTTTTAATCAATCAGTGAAGGTAAAAAGTGATTACACCCACACGAGGACGTCAAAGAGTGGCACAGCAGTGAAATTAACATTACTGCCAAAGCACTAAAGCAGAGGGTAGTAGGATTAATTCTATTTTCAGCCACAGCTGTAATAGTGGGTTTGCTGGGTTATGATTATCTTGGGAGTTTTATGTGTGCATCTGTATGTATTAGTTTTATATACTAGTTTTTACTCGTAGATAGTGTGAGAATAATAATTTGGATTATTTCAATCTTTCACCCATTACATTAGGGATGTTGTTAGGTAATTGTTATGCACTACTTTACATTAAATAAAACTTGCTAAAATAAATTTTCTGTTTCTTAATCTCTACATTGAAAGTTGGTCGAAGCCTAATCTCAACTACCTTTTGGACAGCGAGCTGGTCTGGTGGTAAAGCACGGGACTTCGGTCCCTGAGATCCTGAGTTCAAATCCCGCAATTTACCAATGGGTTACATCTAAATGATACGGTAATGCCGCAACCTAGGCCTAGCCTGAAATTTGAAAAACGATCTTGGGATCGGATAGAATCTAGTAGAAAAATATCAACCAACTTCTGAATGGAGAAGATATTACCTAAGTATTGTGCTCGAAATTTTATAGAAGGTTTGATTTTGTAGTTAGAAACATTATATGTTAAGCTGTTGCTCATACGAAGCTAATTGAACAAATATCCAAGCACCTTTAAAGTTAAAGTTTTGATTTCTTAACTTTTAACTGCAATTCCAAGACGTTGATGCAGTAAAAATAACAAAAAATAGATAGACGGATTCTGAAACACCAGACCATGACGTTACCACAAAACTAAAATTGGTGAATGTCGGTATTTGAACCTTGACCACCATATCAGAAGTGGCGCTCTCATCAATGATAGCTGCATCCCAACTTCTGAAAATTATAGTCTGTAGTCTGTATGATTGAACCTGTACCCTGACCCTCTGTCTACCTGTGACTATCCCGAGCCTTAAACCATTTCCCAGTCCCTAGGTTGACTGTTATCTGGTCAAGAGATATGTTCCATCATACAGACTATAATGTCACGCATTGACTATAGCCGTTGGTTTGCGTAGGAGAGAGATGGAGCTATACAACACAAGTTATGCGGCAAAAATCCGCATTGGAGCGCCAGTGAGCGATAATTGAGTTCCATACCGATATATTGGCAGACGTTATGATGCCAATAAACTACTTCCACTGGAGTTATTGTGTTCCAAAAACAATTCTTACAACAAATTCGAAATCTTTATACCAAATTAGTAAATATATAGAACGGTCTAACTTTAGTGGGAATATTTTTTCAAATAGGCTAATTATAAAATAATATTTTATTTAATGGTGGCGAGAATAAATGATAGACATTGCAAATGCCGTTTCCCCCTTTAATTGGGTTAAGAAAATATCCTCAATAATTTATCTGATTGGAAAATCATTGTAGTATGTTGTGTGGTTTTGTGTAGAAAGTGTTTTTTCCTATTATAGTTCATTATTTTATTTAGAAAATTAGTGATTTTGTTCAGCGTAATGTATTAGTACGGGGGAGCGAGCTGGTGTAGTGGTTAGAGCGCAGGACTTCAGTCCCTGAGGTCCCGGGTTCGAATTTCACCAAATCACCAATGGATTTCATCTAAGTGACAATGCCGCAAATCCTAGGTCTAGCCTGAAATGTAAAAAGCAATCCCGGGCTCGTGGCTAGCGTCCTAGGACAAAAAATGTATAAGTACATATAATTATCACAGCTTATTTTGATTTGATTTGGTTTGTACTGTATGTATGTTTTAGGATGAAAAAATAGCATTTTCGAAAACTGGCATTTCATACAAATATACATAATAAGGGTTGAAAATTAATGTAAAAAACTAACATTATATTTCCGAACAATACTGTATCCATCGATAATAATGTATGTTAAGAAGATAGCACGCTTTGCTGGTCTTTTAGCGAATTTCCCTATAGGGAAGTAGCTATTACCGTAGGTCTCATGGTAACACTTAGGCCCGGGACCGATTTACTTTTTCATTTTGATGTCCCCAGAGGCCAAAAACACCATTCGTTCAAATTTTTATATATGTATATATATATATATATATGTCCGTGAACACGATAACTTGAGTAATTTTTATCCGATTTTGATGAAATTTGGTTTAAAGGTGTAAGGCGGGATAAACTTGAATGAGTTCGCGATCCAGCATGATCGGACCATGGGAACAGGGTTTTATGGGGGGTTTTATGGGGTAAAAATTGGTTTTTCTCACTTTTGACCCTCAAAACACAAAATTTCCCAATTTTCCTCTAAACCTTCTTAAAGAGCTTAAAAAAACAAACAATTCAGTATATCAAAGTGTTTTTGTGCGGTTATTGGTTACGGAGAAAACTAAAAAATTGGTCAATTTAAAATTCCCATGTTATTCTTATGGAGAATATTATAAAATGTTGTAGTTTGCTTGTTTATGGATATCTTTTGTTCAAACTTGGCAAATATATTCATTTTATACTAAGCAATAATTATTTTACTTAAAACACACACTTTATTAGTTTCCTTGTAGCAGCAAACCTAGGTACTCGTTAAACCTAATGTTATTTAAATAGATCAATTGAAAATTAATTCAGCCAAATGGAAATTCGCTAAGACAGCAGGTTTGCTGCGGCGGGGGTATTTTATACCATGGCCAGCTTATCTTGGGTATGAAATTATATTTAATATTTATCAATTGATGCTAAAAGTAAAAAAGAATGTACTTAAACATAAATAAATGGCTATCAAAAAGGTTGTAAATAAATAAAGTTATATTTGCAAACCATTTAATACACAACTAAAATAAATTATGGAATTTTAACATAGATCAGCAGTATTTATAAAATGAGAAATTGTTAATGAGCTATCTCCAGTTTTTATTCATAAAAATGTTCTTTGACTTAAAAAAAGAAGAAACTGCTAACCTTTGTACAAAGTGGATGCCAAACCACTACACTTCTCAGCTATTTAAATATTTACTGTAGCAAAATACACCCTTTTAAAGGTCATACGCTGCCTCTAAAATGTCAGCAAACAGTATAATTTTAATTTGATTATATTCCTAGCTATGTACAGATATTAATATAATAATAATAACTAACGCGTTGGTCTGACTATAATTGTATTGTTACTTCTGAAACAAAATTTAAAGTGGCTTATATTTTCCTTGTAAATAAAGAATACAGATGGATTAACGAAACATGAAAATATGCAAATTTTAATGTGATAAACCGAACGTTGTCAACATTTATCTCGTTTTGTGCATGATGTTTAAATTATCAAACAAAATTAGCATATTTTCTCGTTTTATCAACGCATCTCTGTTTTTATATTTCCAAGACAAAATTATATATTATTAAGAAATATTAATAACGTGTTATGAATAAAATGTACTATTATTTAACCGTTAAATATTATGCATATCCTTTAATTTGGTAAAATCATAAAATTTCTGCACTAACGTTATATATTTAAATTAAATCATCAAAAAGTTACACACTAAAAAGACAGCTTTAATACTGTATTTCATAAAAAAATATTTGAATCAATAACGCGTAACATTTCAAAACTGTACTCACAGACTTCTCGTAACGAAAATAACACTTTACAACACAGGCGGCATTCCTAACGGTGGCCGGGGGAGGACTGAGAAATTTAGAAGCACCACTAAGGTGGAATGGGGGTTGGAGGGGGTGGATTAGGGGGTGAAAATCACCTGATAACCCCCTCCCCCATCTTGGCTACCCGCAGTCCTCTCCAACTCGTGCTGACACTTTTGGGACCCAATATTTAACTTTGATATAGTGTAGAGTTTATTTAACACCCCTGGGCTACGGCCAACACTACAATACATCATCAGTTGTCGATTAGATTGGGGAAATCTAGTTTTGTAAAACACTAATTTTAGTCAACTTTTTGTAGATGTATGCGGCTGTAGCATTTTGTAAAGTGTTACGAACGTTTTGAAGGGATATCGGGGCAAAAATATGTGAATATTACAGGAATCGAACCCATTCCTCAGTATGATACGCTACAGCTGGGCTAACACACAGTATTTAACGTACTTTAAAATTGTTTGAGTTAGGAAAATTTAATACAAATTATGGTAGATTTTAATCAAAAAAGATTTTTGAAAATAATACTGTAAATTGTTTACAGTAGTCCTTAGGAAAGTTAGCTTGGTAACAATGTTATAAGCTGGTTTGAGAAAGTACTATACAATGCTGCATATGGAAGATGTTATAACTATATGCCAAAGAACATTACTTGTATTTTGGGAAAGAAATAAGTAAACAGTAAAACCTTGTACAAAAAATGAGGATAAT